CCCTGGTGGTCCGATGTCACCCTCAGGACCGATTTCACCTATAGACAGACAATATTACTGTCTCTCAGGGTGAAAATTTCAAAGTTTATTCCAGTAAAAAAGGGATTTGGTTACCATCAATCCCATCGACAGCTGGAATTCCTGGTGATCCCTTATGTCCTTTCTCTCCCTGTAAGCCACGCTCTCCAGGCGGTCCTTCAGGACCCATTTTCCCGGCTGGACAAATTATACACTTCTCCTCTTGTTCAGCTAGAATGTCGCGAGCATCCAAACCGCGTTTGCCGATAGGACCATCAGCACCTTGTGGGCCGTCCTTTCCAGGCGTTCCTTGAAAAAAACACATTAAGTCATCCTCTCAATCCTCTGCCCTCTCCCTCCCTATCCCTCCTTCCCCGTCATATTCCCAGATAATATTTTTCAGAGTCACCTGGGGGACCACGTCTTGCAGGAGCACAGGACACAGCTCTTTTCTCACGTTCTGAGCTGTTCATCAATTTGGTTATATCATTTTCCAGAACCTGAACGCCAAATTACTTGAAACACCCTAAGAAAGGCACGTAAAGAAAGAAGAGCTGTACCTTAAAACCTTTTATCGTGTGGAGAACAATATCACGAGAATTTTCTACCCTCTTCACAATAATAGGCATGTAAGCCAGCTGGAGAATTACAGTGAACGTAGAAAGAGTTATAGTTAAATAACCCGCATAGTAGAACCACATCTGGATTATTTTGGAATGTAAGTGAAAGAATTCGTAAACTATCAAAAATGCTAGTTATGATTGGCAATCAACAGATAGTGCGGTTAAACGAGTAAGCAAAAGTGCTTTTGAGTGCATCTGTCTTGAGAAAGTGAGGAAAGAAGACTAAGAAGAGAAAATGAGGGAATGAGTACATAGATTATAATTAAGAAATCAACATCCATTGTTATAAAGAGTGCTGCTAGGAGAGATAGAGAGAACTAGAGAAGTGCAAAAATGCTAGCTCTCAATCTCCAGAAATTCTAACATATTTCAATTGAAGAGGCACAGAAAACTGAGTTCTTACATAAGAAACCGAAAGCAGAGTCGTATTAAGACGTCAAGCGAATTCAATCGAGTAGAAAACGAATGTCATTACGTTCTCACACATGTCGACGCGCTGCAAACTAGGTAAGAAAAATCAGGTCGAATTCCGCAACGTTGACCTCATTTCGACAATAGAAAAG